AGTTTAGATTGGATATAAGGAAGAAGTTATTTACCGTAAGGGTGGTGAGGCACTGGAATGGGTTGCCCAGGGAAGTTGTGAATGCTCCATCCCTGGCGGTATTCAAGGCCAGGTTGGAGAGAGCCTTGGGTGGCATGGTTTAGTGTGAGGTGTGCCTGCCCATGGCAGGGGGTTTGGAACTAGGTGATCTTAAGGTCCTTTACAACCCTAACTATTCTATGATTCTATAGGGTGTCACTGAGAGCTTAGAGCTAGTAGCCATCAACTTTTTTTGTAGTTCAGCTTTTCTGTTACAATGGGAAAATTTTGTGAATAACCATCCTGCTCGTAGCAAAGGAAGGCAGAGTGCTGTGTAGTTTGAGAAACTGTAAGCAACATAAAAAATATTCTGTTTTAGAAAATCTAACTTCAGCTGGTAGAAGCAGCCATTTCTTATAACTCTTATTTTATCGTGTTCCGTATAAACACAGTCTATGTTGTTTCCCCTCACTTCTCCATCAGAAGGTGTGCTCAAGAGCGTGATGCCTGAGATGATTAATGGTCCGTCTCATTTCCAGCTTTGAGTTGTTCATGGCTGGTTGATTCCCATTCTGTTATATTCACTGTCCTTTGGCTTAAGCAATTTTATATCTCAAGGTAGACTTCCTTGTAGATAGTAGTAATATCACTTCTTGGTCTTCACCTTACTGAATTGAGTAACCCAACCTCTTTTTATTCACTCACAGAATTTGCTCTTCCTCAACCTTTTCACCCAAGTCATTTTTTCTGATCTTGTTTCCGGTTTTGTTTGCATTACCTTTGTCTTGTCAAGCAAATATTAGACAAAATTCAGAGTCTTATTTCCACTGGTGTTGCTCACCATCCCGCATCAGCACAACTTCCCTCATCAGCCAGAGGCTCTGCTCCTGGAAGCCAGGGCCAAGAGCTGTGGGACCACAGCGAGAAGTAGGACAGGTCAGGGAAGGCCTGGGAACATTTCAGTAATTGTTGGCGTTTGTGAAAGGGGAATTGGGTATGTTGGCTGGACAGAGAGAACTGATGCAATTAAGCTGAGCATTTCATGATTTTACTGTTCTCTCTGGCCTCAGTTCCCCAAATGAGTTTTGACACAGTTGACTAACAGCTGCTACGCTAATGACCAAAGGCTTATGCAGTGTCTAGAAGGAGCATGACAGTGCCTACAACATCCCCATCAATGCTTTTAAAGGAGCAACAGTATCAAGATAGTCTCTTGTAACTATAATATCATCTTTTGTGTGTATGTGCTATAGCTGGTAATCCTTTCAACAGCCCTTCTCTGCCCAGATAGTGTGGGTATCTCCTCAGAGCAAGGGTTACTCCACCACCTCCTCAAAGCAGATTGGTGATCATTCAGTTAGAAACTTGGGGACTTTCCTGATATCATCTAGTAAGGGAAAGATGTGAACTGGCATCATCTTGAATGTCTATAGAGTCTGAAGTAGAATCTTCATAGGGACTGTACGGAAATAAATCAGACAACTAAGTGATGATCAAAAACTGCTGAGCCTAACTTGCCCTTGCCTTGCCTCATTTCCTGCCAGGTTGTTGGAATTCAGACTGCAACAGCATATCAGCATATCAGAAACTCAGCTGTTACAACAAGAAGAGCACCATTAAACTCCACTCAGCTTCATACCACTTCAGGATTTGTTAATTTGTTCTTTACCTGCTCCTCATCAAATGAATTACCTTCATTCTGTGGTTATTTCAGGGCAGTGTAGCAGATTAAAAAGGAAACTTTTCTGGCTTCTTCCATGTTTTCAGCTTAAGCCTAATTATTAGCATGACTGGTATGAGGAAACACCCCTAAACTGAAATTGTGCGAACATGCAGAATGCATGTCTTGGTTCTCGTCCACACAGGCTGTGAGTAGCACGCGTTGATTTTGCTGCCTATTACTCATAGTCCACAGAGTGGAGTAAGTAATCAGACTCTTAAATATGCTGCCTTTAATGCGGTATATATCCTTACATATACTGCCTTTAAGCAAGTCAGCTGGAGTGAATCCCTGTTCATCTGCGTGGGAGTATTTGTTTGTTTTTTTGCAAGCTTTTCCATAGCATCACTAACTCCCTTAATCTACAGAAAACAGGAAATCTTTGCCTGTTCCAGAGAAACACTATCTTTGTTTAGCTTGTTTCATCAGTAAATCCACAGGAGAGTTTTCAAAGCCCAGTTACACTGTTCTTAGTTATTTCTTCTTGCTCTATTTCACTGTCTTAAACCTCCACGTTGTTGGTCAATTAAAGTGACAGGAACCCCGTAGGTTATGTTTGTTCATAGTAGACATGTCTTCTTTCATTAGTCCAGCCTTAACAGCTGCAGAGTTTTAATGTCTTAGCCACTGTGTAGCAGCCTGTTTGCAATGAAATGCTAAAGCAACAAAAGCATGTGCGTTGAGGGTGGGAGAGAGACACATGAGAGCTGAGAGAGAAAAACCTCAAATTTTCATCTGTTCTGCTGGCTTTTATTTCAGTCCCTGTTCATTCCTGAATCTCGGTTACTTCCCTGTCTCCCACAGTTGTAGAGAGCTGATGCTTTTGTTATTCATGTTGGATGTTGTGGCTAAAGGTGTTGCTGTCACTGCTGTCATTGTTTTGCAATGAAGTCAATAGTCTTTAATTTAAAACTCTGACTCAGCAGCGATCCACGAAAATGATCTTCATTAGCTAAGTTTATCACTTCATTAAGAGTTCCCTGTAACTGTAATTTTTCTTTAATGGTTTTTTTTTTTTTGCTATATTTACCAAGCTTTCTTCGAATCTTGTCAGACAGTGTAAGTTCCTAAATGAATAGGTTTGTCTATTAAAAATGTTTACCGTACTGCTTTGTCATCATTAAATATTCCTGCAAGCTAATTAGTTTGAGATTGCATTTTACTCATTCCATCTTTTAGGAAGCTGCTTCAAAGAATTCTTCAGCTAAGCCAATGTTTGACAGTTCTAATCCCAAGAGCCTAATATTTTTCAGTGGTATTCAATTTTAGCAGTCTAATATGGCCATTAAATATTGAAGGCTGAAATTAATGATACATTTATATAATTGTGCATAATTGCAGAACTTTTTACATGAGATGTGTGAATAGGAATGCTTCAAATTATGGTGGAAATAGGAAAGTATTGTATTTTTTTTTAATTTACTATACAATTTTTTAATACATCATTGCACATCAAATTTGGGTAAGCCAAATTATAGCGAGTTGCCTAATATTACCCTAGATTTCCCAGTTAATTGCACATACATGTTTTATTCATGATAAAAGTAAGCATTCTTTACATTTATTAGGAGTATTATTTAAGTTTATTTTCTTTTGCATCAACACATTTTCAGCACAATACAAGCATGCAAAAAGAAAATAAATGAATTAGAATGCAACAAGGCACCAAATCTTTCTTGAATTGAAGTTAATGGGAGTTCTGCTTTGAATTTTAACTGAAGCTCAATTTATTGGAAATAAGATTAGTCCAAAATGCAAGTAGTCTTCCTGCAAATTTCTTTTTAGGAAATTCAATTATAAACAGGACAAATGATAGGGAACTATGTTTCATGACAGTACAACATTTCTATTCATGCATTAAATGATTATTATTAAAGCTGGAGAACATATGCATTGCTATGTATTTGCTCCGGAACAGTATATAATTGAGAGCTCTGTCCAATCCATTTAAACAACATTACCATTTAAACAACAAAACTTCTGCTGTTTCTCCTGGCTTGCAGTATATTGTCTCATAGGATGTTTTCTATGAAATTAAACCTAGATTTTCCTGTGATTTTTTTCTAAAGGAAATGTTGAAGATAGATTTCAAGGCCTAAGTATTATAGTGAAGGTTGGTTTTGCACAGCCTCTGAAAGTCTGAAGATTTTGGATACAGTCTCTCTGAATTCACAGTACGGGATGACTTTATGTACCTACATCCCATCAGAATTTCACTTAAGAGCCTCAGTCCACAAAAACAGCTGTTGGATCCTACTCCATTCAGAAGATGCCTAATCCACAGGGTTCCTAAATTTTGTAGATATGTCAGATTTCAGTGTTATGATCCCCTGCATGCTTGATGAGCGTGTGATGGGAGCCTAAGTCCGTACTTCTGCTGAAGGAAAACTCTCCCATCTCTCCCCTTTTGGCTTAAATTCCAACCCCTGTGGTGGAACTGATCTTTCTGAAAAACACCCCTTAGAAAAATGGGGGGAACAGGGGGTTTAGTTTTCCGTACTGGTGAGTTCCTCAGGTTTTTTTTCTCTTGGTGTTGCACAGATTCTTGCATGGGCCTCCGGGAGAGGGTGTCACCAAGCTGAAATAAATATGTGCAGGCAGAAAACCAGAAGGGTGTATTCTTTCGGGGTTCATGCTGGATAGTTCAGCAAACACTGGAATGTAAGTTCCATCCATGATGCTTCTTTTGATGGTGCTTGGCACCATGGTGCTTAACTGTGTACTACACTGATGCCCCTAAACTAGGTTTTCTTTTGCCTCTGTCAGTCAAGGGGCTAAACTTGATTAGTGTTTCAGAGTACAAATTGAGCTCTCTTGGACTATGAAAGAGCATAGTCCCCTTTTCCAGAGAACAGCTCAATGGTAAAAGCTTTCACCCAATGTACAATACATTAATTTCCTCTTCAGCCTGAGTGAGTTCAGGCCTTCATCTTACATCTCTAAGATGAGTGCCATCAACAGGGGACCAGGGGTCTTTTGAAGGAGATGAAGGATGTTTTCCCACTCAACTGAATATTGGACTGTATCCTTATAGCTGTCCTTTTTTTTTTTTGTTGTTGTTCCTTTTTTTCCTTTTTTATTATTTTGTTTATTTTTCCCAGACAAGACCAGGCTGTAGAGGGCTTTGAGCAATCTTATCTAGTGGAAGGTGGCCCTCCCCATGGCAGGGCGTTAGAACTAGGTAATTTTTAAGGTCCCTTCTAACCCAAGCCATTCTATGACAGCATCTGTATTAACTTGCATCCCCTTTTCTCCTTCCCAGGTAGCCTCTCTGGGAGTCACCACCTTCACGCTGTGTGCCCTCTGCATCGACCGATTCCGTGCTGCCACCAACGTGCAGATGTATTATGAGATGATCGAAAACTGCACGTCCACAACAGCCAAGCTGGCAGTCATCTGGGTGGGTGCGCTGCTGCTGGCGCTGCCGGAGGTGGTGCTGCGCCAGCTGGCCAAGGAGGACCCTGAGTACAGCGGCAGCCTACCCGGGGAGCGCTGTGTGGTCAAGATATCCACCGCGCTGCCTGACACCATCTATGTGCTTGCTCTCACTTATGACGGAGCAAGACTCTGGTGGTACTTCGGCTGCTATTTTTGTTTGCCTACTCTTTTCACTATTACCTGCTCCCTGGTAACCGCGAGGAAAATCAGGAGGGCGGAAAAGGCTAGCACAAGGGGGAACAAGCGACAAATTCAGCTGGAAAGTCAGATGAACTGCACAGTGGTGGCTTTGACCATTTTATATGGGTTTTGCATCATTCCTGAAAACATTTGCAACATTGTGACTGCCTACATGTCCACAGGGGTCTCTCGGCAGACTATGGACCTCCTCCATCTCATTAGTCAGTTCCTTTTGTTCTTTAAGTCCTGTGTTACCCCAGTTCTCCTTTTCTGCCTCTGTAAACCTTTCAGCAGGGCCTTTATGGAGTGTTGCTGTTGCTGCTGCGATGAATGCATCCAGAAGTCTTCAACAGTGACAAGTGATGACAATGACAATGAGTACACCACAGAACTGGAGCTCTCCCCTTTCAGTACCATCCGTCGTGAAATGTCCACTTTTGCCTCTGTGGGGACTCACTGTTAGTTGACCCTAGAACCTATTTGCTGTATCTTTTTTTGTTTTCTTCTTTTTGTTCCTTTTTTTTTTTTTACCTCATATTTTTCTTATTGAAGCAAAATGATTATTGAAAACTGCTCTGGAAACCAATATGCTTATTAACAGTCATGCTTCGAAAATAATTTGTTTTGTTATTAAAATGAAAGTAAGAGAGAAGGGGAGCCAGCACTCAGTTTTAAATCATGATATTTTGTATGGTGCTAGGATTTTATTGTCTGGGAAGGAGAATCCATATCAATCCGCTTTTATTTAATTCCATAGTATTTTTTTTTATAATCACTGTAAAATGATTATATAGACATTGTGGGGTTTGCAAGATGTTTTATGTAAAAGATGTGGTGGAAATTATTTGAAGGTAGTTTTAACCCAATTACTGTACACTATTGTGAGAGGACTTGGACTTCAGAGAATTCATAAAGTAGCATAAAAATAAATGAGGTTTTATTCTTTAACTTCACTGTCAATCTGCATTTAATAAGGACACCCATAAGTAGTAATAATTCTTTTTAAAAGTAAAAAAATTCTTTGCTTTGCATACAGTAATCTAAATGGCCATATTTAATTTACTATTTGTGTGCTTACCCTTGGAAGCTATAATTGCAGTGTTTAAGGAAGATGGTTATAATGGAATTGGATTTACATGAGTGAAATTTTTAAATGTATATTACGAAGGTTCAATGTGCCTCATTGAAAATTTCCTTCTTAACCTGCAGGTATACAAAACCTGAGCTGTTTTGTACTTCTTACAAAGAAGGATTACTTTCTCACTTCAGTTTTGTCTTGTGTGGTTTCAAAATCAAGTTTCTTTCCAATTTATTATTGGTTTAACATTGAGATTATGTCCTCAGCCTCTGTATGTATAGCTCCTTCAGTAAGAGTCCTGTTGCAGAGAGCATTCTTTTGCCAGAGGTTTGCTGACAATAAATGTGAGGGACTGAAACATGTGGAGAGTGAATTCCTTCTTTTTTAAAAGGTATAAACAAACTTGGACACTTGGGGGTTGACCCAGAGCCACTGCAGTCAATGGAAAGGCTTCCATCAATTTCAGAAGGCTTTGGATCAGACTGGCATCTCCTATTTATTCTGGGACGTAGCATGAATATTAATCACAGGGGCTCTGTATACCGATTATAAATCACGTTGCTCTCACAGAGGCTGCTATTCATGAGCAGCTCACAGCTCTGAAGCTGGTTTTGAGAACTACGGTGTGTTTTGTGGATGGCTTCTTGCTGTCCACAGGGTTATTAAAATGAGGATATGTCAACGCTGCCAGCAACAGTGTGATACAGCGAAGTCTAAAGTTATAGGCAAGCTGGGCTGGAGACTGGAAAGTGCCTATCTGTACCAGCAGAGCTTATTTGCTTCTCTTCTTGGCTGAAGTAGACAGGCTGTTCTTGGCAGGAAAGCTGGCTTATATTTATACTGGGCACCACGCTAAAGTGTGGGCACATGCTAAGGAATTGATTTTGTTATAATTAGCTTATATTTTAATATGATTAAATAAATAATAAAATTGCAATAGTATGGGCACAAGTAAAATCACATGCATTTGTCCTTTGACATTAACAGTGATCATAACGGATGTAGTCTTGCATCCTGATACCTGCCTCTAAATATGTGAAAGAATTTGCTGTAACTTCTGGAAAGGAGTATTTTTTAATTATTATTTGTAGATTCTGGACTTAATATGTTTAATCTTTGTATCTACTTGGGCAAGCGGTAATTCTTTTTCTTCACCATTTTCACATATAGCAATTTCAAGTGAAAAGCAGTTGAAATGAACTAATCTGAATATGAATCCAAACATATATGCGCTTGAGTTTTTTTTCTGACTTTTGAATCAGACACTGGGCCCTATCAAAGCAATCTGCTTTAAGCACAGGCCTAAATTTAAATAGTTGTTTCTGTTTAAGACTTGTTAAATTACCTGAGTTTTTTTACATCCTTTTGTAACATGGTTAGTCACTTCTGAAGATGGGGGAACTGTTCCTTCTTTATAAACCCCTCATCGACTTCATATTTGATTACATTTAATAAACTGTGAAAGGGGTTGAAGAGAAAAGATAAAATCAAAATCTCCTTTCTCACTGTGGCACCTGTGTCTCCTCAAATATTTATTCCCATCTCTGCATTTTGATTTGTACTTTTGTTTTTTTTTTTATGTACAAATATTTATAAAGAATGGGAATAAAACCTCTCCTTTTGTTCCTTGCTGAATTGTTTCTCTCAGGTGCTTTTTCAGTCACAGCATGAGCAGTGGCTCAAGGAGCTGGGAAAAGAATAGCAAAATAGGAAGAAACAGTTCTTTATGTTAAAGCTTTTATCTATATATATGTATATAAAGAAAGAAAATAGAGAAATTACATGATCACTGCCTGGGATGTTAGGTGCTTCCAGCTTTCCAGTCTATACTGGGTATGTGTAAACTCTGCTAAAGACTGCTGCTCTTTCCCAGGTTAACTGCTGTGTCCCAGAGCAGTTTGCTTCTCCATTGAAATATTTCCACAATATGGATATGGGGGTAAAAAAAAAATAATAAATCAAATAGCAAAAAGGAGAATTAAGTCATTGTAGAAGGTAGACTTTGAAGATCAATAATGCTGTGTTTGGAAATGTATCCTCCTGTTTGGTGGTGCAACCTTCTCCAGCTTTGTATTCAGTGTGGCTTCTTTGTACCCAGTGTAACTTTGCTTTTTCTGCTGCTGAAAGAGCATTTTTCACAGCTAGTTCTTCCCACTGCCTTGGACCTCCATAGCAATTGGACATGTGAGACAACCTTTATTCTAATTTGTTCTCTAAATTGGTTAAACTAATCCCACATTAGCACTGTGCAGCCATCCTGATGCAGGTGTGTTTTGACGAATATAGAGTTAAATATAGAGTACTGCATTGCTTTTCCTATTTTTGGTACTGATCCTCTGAACTCTTGAAATTTTCCTGGTGTTTGCTTTTCTTATTTTCTTTAATACTCTTAAAAGCAATTCTGTCTGTTTAGAATGCGTTTCTGTAAGACATTTGTTTTGTAACAAGATGGCATTTAATAGACTGATGAATGAGGATTTGGAAATGTTTATGGCAAAGATTTAATTCCTTTATGTAAAATAGAGAAACATGTAGAACATGGCGATCAATGTAAGAGTGGTGGAACTGAAAACTGTGAGGCAGGAAAGACTTATACCTCTCAGGTATGTGAGCCTTTGATACATTAACACTTATCATGACAGCCCAGGTCTCATTAAGAAGTTAAAACACATAAAACTCTAGTGTGGGTTCCAGTTTCTCCAATGAGGTTAGGCTTCATAGCCACGATCTTTGTGGAGGCCAAAGTCCAGATGGTAAATTACTGAAAAATATTGCTCAGTTAGAAGAAATCTCTTATTTTACCCTTTCCAAGATAAAATTCCTGTATCCAAACTTGAGTAACTCCTGCCCTTAAATGACCTCAGTGACTTGCTCAGCTCCTGTTCTGTCTTTGGGACCCAGATGTGTAAACTTCCACAGTTGCTGCTCCAGCAGCTCTGGAGATGGCTTTTAAAGACTGTAGAGGTTTTCAGGCATGTTGTCCTGCATCTCCTCATAAGAAATTGTATGATGGTAAGCTACATGATGAGATTGTCACGTTGTGCTTATAGCATTTAGAGACAAACTAAATTCCATGAAATGTGAGTTAATATTGAAACTCTCAGTCCTGACTTCATATGTCTTCATTGCGAGAATTACTATTTTTCAGGCAAGTAAGGTCCATTTTCTTCATAGCGCTGAGAAACGTATTAGGAATTGTATCAGGAATTTTCTTTGATAATGGCTCTTTTCCTTTTCTTCTTTCCAACCATTGTTTTCCCCTTAAAAGCTCAGTCAAAGCCAATGTGAGTAGATGATGTGAATCACTAAACCTAATAGTATCCTACGTGCACTGTCTCATGTTTCAGAAACTGTTTTTTTCACTACTGTTTTGTATTTGATGGACTCATTTAACACCTATGCTTAGCAAATGTCAGATTTTCAAAAGCTGGGTATGTTTTGTAGTGAATAAGAAACAATGAAAAAGGACTGAGAGGCACCAGGACACTCAGGCATCTCTGCAACACTCTGTTCATCAAACAACTGAGAGGAGAGCTGCATTTAACCATGTACTGCATTTAACCCCTGAAATCCAGGCTACTTGCTTTCCCTGTAATACAATTTGGGAGGTTCAGTTTTTAATTTTCAGGCAGTGTAAGTTGGGACAAAGACTCCCTGGCATTTTCAATGTGTCCGTGACAACACTAAGAGTCAGTGCAGTGTCTCATACTGTTGACACATTCCCTATGTCATGTTACCTGGAGGGCCAGGATCCATATGCCTGAAGCTTTCAAGGGCGACGCCAAAGGTTTCTGTCCTTGTGCACTGTAGCTTTAGTTCTGCATCACAACTTCTTATTACTGAAAAGTAGACGATATTACTGAGAAGCAGGATATATTACTATCCTGACTAAAATGTTTGCGTGATTTTTCTTCTACTAGTAATCTGGCCTGTCAGAGTTACAGAACTGTCATTTTAGGGCATTTAATAAAAGTGCTAGCGGCAGCATTATTAACTTACAGCCACAGGGAAAGCTTTTATTTTGGTTTTCTGGGTTTTGGGGATTTTTTAGCCTTTATTCTTGTGTGATTACGAAGTTGTGTTTGTTGCTGGGGGTTTTTTCCAAAACAATATATATAAAAAAATACCACACACACTTTTTTGTTTAGTTAGAGAAAATCCATTTCTAACTTGCATCAAATGTCTTCCTTTATGTCCACTCTGAATATAGTCCAGTGTTCTTTGAGAAAAGGAGCCAAAAGCACATTAGAGACATGGTCATGACTAACTTGACATTGAAGAGATTAGATCTGAATATGATTTGAGGGCTGGAATGGTAATGTAAAGTGATAACTATATCTATATATATATATTTAAATAATTATAGTCTTGCCAGCTTAATAGTTTTAAAGAGGTGGGAGATGCAAAAGTTCAACAATAGCTTGGTTTTGAATTTCATAACTGTCACAAGGGGCTCCCGAATACACACACTCTCAAATAAGATGACCTAATAGCAGCTGGATATGCATGTGATAATCCTCTCTGAGCACAATACAACTATTTAAGTGTAGAAATACATTTTAGCCTGTTAGCTATTATACCAGAGAACTAAATTCTTCCCTAAGATGTGTTTCCAGTTTGATTTAAAATATATGTGTGCTAGAAGAAAAATCTATTTAGCATTTTTAGTGTTGTATGGGGAATACAAAAGCTTAAGAAAGTATCCCATCTGTAACTGTAGGCAGCAGTTATGCTTCAAATTTTTTCTTCTAAATTCTTTCTCTATTTTTAAACAATTTCTGCTGGTTGTTCTTATCAGCCCTTTCAATGTCTTATTCCATTTACTAACTGTCCCCTGAGCAAATGAAAATTGTCTTTTGTATTTCTGATG